TACGTACGTACGTACGTACGTACGTACGTACGTACGTACGTACGTACGTACGTACGTACGTACGTACGTACGTACGAGAGAGAGAGAGAGAGAGAGAGAGAGAGAGAGAGAGAGAGAGAGGCTTTCTCTCCTTCCGAACAGAAAACCCAAAAAAAAACAGACCCTTACTCTTCATTTTAAGAAAATGCCCCTATACAAACCCCAAAAGGATGGAAAAAAAACACCTTAACACCTTTGTTTATTAAAAACCAAAATAAGACCAAAACTAACATTTTCTTGCCTCCATCGAGACCAGCCAGCTCGATCCTGGATTGGGTATCAGTCCATTGGTCCAAGACCAGTTTGATGGACCGGACAGGACTGGATAGGGTACTGGTTCCCTGTTCGAATCGGCCGCAGTAGTGCTCGACATCATTGATAAAAGGTTGTTATGCTTTTAAAAAGTGTATTACTTGTAGGTATTTTTGTGAAGAACTACTATCACGGGAACCATATCTTAGTAGACCATTGAGGAAAAGTTGTGAGAACTACGAGGAAAATTGTCTCTTGTCTTGCCCATTAGATTTAGATCAAGATGAGAACCCAAAATTAACCCCCTCAAAGAAATGTTGACCACAAGAAGGCACTTATGGTAGTGGGATCCAATGCAACAAAGATAAGAAAACGAGCTGGTAGGATCTTTTCAAAGGGGAATCCCTTTAGTCAAAGCAACAATATTCATCTGATGCATTGTCACTTTACACGACACCCAACTCTATCACCAGAAGATTAAAAGGTAATATGGTAGATTGAAAGGGTAGAGAGGGATCCTTTCCATTTAGAATCGTGAAAGGAGTTAAATACACCAAGGAACAGATACAAACTTGGTATAATATGTCTTAGGCACAAGAGAAAAAATCCTTTCAACCATAGTAAGGGAGGTACCATTGCGAAAATACCCGATGTGAAGGAAGTCCACCCCTTTTAGTAAGGAATGGTGAACTAATTTGCATTAAAAAAGGAAAAAAATGAAGAAAATACAAGAATATTGGCCCCCTTAACCAGCCATAACTAACATAAGCCAACAGAAAAACCTATAGATCCCAAATATATGGTTAAACACTATGAGGAAGGTCAAAAAGGACAGTGAAAGGGCCACAACAAAGATCGACCAGCGCATCCATCCAAATCCCACTACACCAAATGGAATGATCGTACTAAACCAGCTACTCAAAAACTGATTGATTTCCAGCCTTATTACCATTTTTTGTTTTTTGTTTTTGAGAATATCCTTATTACCTGATCTTATAGGGTTAAGAACCTTAAATAACAGGTAAAGTTCTAATAAAAAATAAGTTATATAATATAATCATCGAAGGATGCCAGGAAAACAGTAGCCCAAGAATATAATACGTGAGATAAACTTGAAAGTAGTCATCCACGGAGGGAGAGAGAGAGAGAGAGAGAGAGAGAGAGAGGAGGGAGGGGA